GAAAATGTGCATTYAGGGCAATTTGCTTTTCAGGCTGTCAAAGTTGGAGAGCATATGGCTTGCTTTTTTGCCATCTTCACCAACCATCGCTTAAGATCCCTATGGAATTTGATTGAAGATCTGGTGTAGTTATCAAAGCCAAGAAAGGTTCAATAGATGTAAGTCTATTCATCCATCTTTCTTATCATACAATCCAGGTATCTTTTTTATGTTCTCTGCAAAATCCATTTTAATAATTTAAAAGACAAGTTTTATATATAGGGAGGCTCCCAAAGTTTGCTATAAGTTTTAAATACCAACAATAAAAACGTCAAAGAGGGCCACCCAACCTTCAAATAGATGTCATTTATGCCAAAATGACCAAAAATTCCGTGGACTAAAATTGGTTTGGTGGTTAAACATAAACATGTAAACTTTGGTGATTAAAAGTGTAAAATAAAAGAATCTGAAACAAAAAACTGTCCCAGGAATGGGGATTACTCTATCTCAAGGGAAAGGGTTGCAATAAACTGCAGGAGGGAGGGGAGGTGCTGCACAGGGGGGCGGGAGGGGGAGCGATTGGTGTTGTCTGAAGACTTTTGCTTTGTGTAACTTTTGATTACTTGTAGCTTTATTTTCATCTTCATCTGATAAGGTTACTTGGTCTATTGCTCTGCTATAATCACCATTTGTTGATTTTCAGATAATACTATTATGTACCTGTTATTTGAATTATACGTGTAAGATGCAGCTCTTAAATCGTCTGAGTTTTCCAAATTCTATGTTGAGAGTAAGGGTTCAGTGCCTGGACTATATATTTGGTTTTCCAAATTCTAATTCAAAAAGTTTATAGGAATATGTTGGGGTCTTCTTTACGTTTATTTGTTATGATATTTGTCATTTTTTATTAGTAGGTCATAATTGTCGGTGTTTCCTGATTCTGTATGTTTCATGATAGCAAGGATATATAAGTTTGTCAAATTTATGTATGTTTCATGATAGCGAGGATATAAGTTTGTCAATGTAATCTTCAAAATCTTTTTATTGGAAATTTATCCATGTGTTAGGTGTGTATGTGGCACAAATACACTTGTTTCATCCTCACCCTTTTTCCCTCCAAGATAATTGGCACATATTCAAAGCAGAAAGTGAACTTGTAGCTGGTATTATGATATAGTTTTTGCATCTAATCCAGCATGAGATACTGTGCAATGACTTTAAAAGGTCTTATTGAGTATAGCACAACATTTTCAGAGGCGGAGAAAGCTGCAGATGAAGAAACACCAGTTCCAAGCTTTAGTTTTTATAAAGTTCTTATTTTTATCATTGTGGCCTTCTGGGTGAAAATATAAGCAGCCCTTGTGCCTTTTCTTGCTTCTAAGACAAGGTTTTGCATCATTTTATGTTGTATCATTTGGCAAGGGGGTATTATTTATATTTGCAATAAGAATGTTTTCAAGTTGTCACTATTAAATTTGTTTCAAAGTTGTCTCATTTCTTGATTTGTTTATTAGATTTCTAATTATATTTTCATTGTACAATAATTTGCGACAACGATATTAATTTCCTTGCTTCTGTTCAATAAATTTTGACACCAGGGAATTGATTTTTTTCACCCCAGTTCTGTTTTTTTATACATCGTACTCAATTACATTCCGTTGCATTGCACGGGTAGTCTACTAGCATTGTTATGATGCATAAAATTAGAAATAGATTAGTCGCATTCAAATTTTATTGGCCTATACCTAGAGGCATATTAAATTCCCATATTTATATTTTCTGCTGGGTTTCATATAGACGAAAGATCGTGTGAGAATAGGAGTTAAGGTGAGAAGTGTAAGAAGGGATTTGGACCCTTGATCACTTGAATTAGTGTTGATCTAATGGTTCGGATTAAGTCCCAAAATAACCCATGAATTAACTTAGAAGCGAATTTTCAATTGATCTTCGATTAGGATTGATCCAAGGGTGCAGATCCCTTCTTACCCTTCCCACAATAACTATTATTCTTACCAGAAACCAACTCTCTCTCTCTCTCTCTATAAATATATATATATATCCCCTCAGTGATAATGCTCAATGGATTACATTTTCCCTATCTTTGCCACCTGTCATGCCTTCAACATGCGAGCACCAACTCTTATCAATCTAGCCTTCCTGTGACTCCTTAGACACCGAATGATATAACTTGGCGCTCATCATACCTTGTTCTGGACCTCTTCATACTCAAACTTACGTCCATCCTGGTTGTGTCTCAAACAGTCCCATCACAACCCCTTGTTGGCAATGGCTCTGGGCATCATTAACGAGTTGTGATCAAAATGTGTTGATGTTCTTACAGTTCGGTATTAGGATGAGGAGCAATTTGAGAGTATCAAAGTATAGGGGTTTATTCAAGAAATTTGTAGAACATTGAAGACCATTTGCTAGTCTAAAAAGTTCTTTTTGGCAAAAAATTGAATTGTATTTACAAGGATTTGAAATCCAAAATTGAGATTATAAATGCCTTGAAGGTTTGCTAAGAAGGCAAGTTGCCTTTGGCCCTTTGCAAAAATGAGACATACATTTGAGTGGCATGTACACATCGATATCTACTTAAATGTTCAATGTCCAACCCAAGGGGTGCAACGATTAATAAAAGAACCACTCCATTTGTGAAATGTCATTGACTTGACTGAACCCACTAAACGGACTTTTCCACAACAGGACCTAGCACCAAACAAAGCATAGTTAAAACTCATCAAAGCGAGATTAAATCCCAAGTCAAAATGAACAATGACAACAGCATAACCGACATCGAAGGAGAGGTAAGGGGGTATGTGATAATATTTGAGCCGAAAGCTAAATCAATGCAATTTGCATTGGAAGTCTAGACCATGTTTACAAGACTGGATTGGAAGAAACCATAATGGCCGACTGAAGATGGCCATAGAAGAGCAAACATGGGCACACCAGAAAGAAAGTCCATACAAGTGAACCTGTAAGTCGTGGTTTAATAGAATACAGATGCTAAGCCATAGCCTAGACTGAAACGGAACACTGATAGAAAGCCATTGTCTACCAATTTATATTGAGTATCACCATATGAACAGGTTGAGCCAACCAAATGCAAAAGGAAGTGAATTGAACTAAATGTGTGGAATCACTAGCCTAAGAAGCCAAGGTGATCCCGTATACATTTGAACCTGAGAGATTATTCAATCCCTACTCACCATATGGTATCCAACAACCACCAAACAGAATCCCAATAAAAAAGTAAAGAATTGATGTTTTACGCAGGCGATCCTTTTCTGTATACAACTCTTCCTCCTCTTTTCTTTTTCTTTCCATTTCCCTCTGCATGCAATCTTCAACTACCTCTTCTAAATTCTCACTTCCCAGCTGACCATCAACTAGAGTCGGAATAGCTTGAAGAAATTCAGTTTGGACTTCTTCATCACTACTTACATCTTCACTAACGGTATCTTCTATTTCTCCTAACTCTTGTATTAGTTGCCATCATTCATCTTCTTGTTCTCTAATCAATAATTTAATTTTCTTGCCCATAAAACGGTAGTCGAAGTTGTTGAAATTTAATGGGCGACTATTTCCATGAACATACATGTCATTTATGTATTTCACATGTTACTAGTTTGGGATGCTATTGTAACAGGATTGCCCATTGACTTTGCAATCCTTTTCGATGCTTGCTCTATCCAAAGCTCCTAAAGCAATGCATAGGTTGTGGTTCTCTAACCCATTCTTCATGTGAGAGGAGACTTTATCTTGAACATATTCCTTTTATCTCCACATATTCCTTTTACTCCAAGAGGTAAAAGGAATATGTGGAGATAAAAGGAATATGTTCAAGAGGTAAAAGGAATATGTAGACCCTCTACCCAGAGGAGTAGAGAGGTTATTTCCATAAAGAACACTGGCTTGTAATCAGGTATATGCACATGTGTTAATGCTTTTTCACCATCTTGGATTCTTGATATTTGTGTCCAAATTGTCTCCATTACATATTCTCCGACTAAAGTTGCTAATGGTACATGAATCTTTGCAGGATGCATTGATTCACTATAACTCTTCACCTTGATCTTGACAAGTATTTTATCTGTATGCAGAATCACTAGAGATACGAATTATTCAATATCCTTTTTCTAATTCATTGTGTTTTTAGAAGCTTTGGGATGTCTCCAATGATTATAATAAATCCTGAGTGTGATAGGCTCTATGGATCGGATACTTTTCAGGATATCCATAGTCCTCTTTGACCCCCTTCTCAAAAGCATTTATATTGCATGTGAGTCATGTGAGATGGATAAGAATGCTCGTGCATCTTAACTAGCCAGTAGGCCCAAATCTAACTTTCCATTTCACGTTATACACTCCACAACAGAAGGGTGATGTTGAATGCAAGGACATGCATTTGTTAGATGTTGCATACACTGTTGATTCATCATAACATCCTTCCACTGTGGGAGATGATGTTTTCTTGGATGTTACCTTATTAATAGAATGCTTTCTCTGATTTACAAAGGAAGGTTCCTTATCAAATCATATTATGTTGGCACACCAGATTTACTACCACTAAACTTGATCCTCATGGTAAAAGATTTTCTTTGTGAGATATTCGAGATCCCAAGAAGGATATCGATGTTATTCCCCCGCTCAAAAGATGTAGCTAGTTTCACTGACCTCAGGGTTTTCATTTTCCTACTCACCTAATGAAAAGTTATCTCTAGTTCATGCACACAGTGCAATCTGGATATGGAATGGGTTTCTTACTTGATTTCTACTTTGTTTCAATTTTTTAGTGTTTTCTGTTTTCAAAATGATCTCTGCTTTTTTGTGAAGGCCAGAATAATTTATATCTATTCTCCAAAGTGAAGAGCGTCAATCGTTCAGAGATATTACTAGATAGAAATAAAAGAATTAGGGATTCATGTCGAACGTCCCAGCGCATCTACTACGTTCTGTATATCTATAGTTTCTTGGTAATATAACACATTGAATTAACCCAAAATGTATACACTTACAATGTGTTCCCCGTTGAAGAACTCCTAAACAGGTTAAGGTATAGATTCCTGATACAAACACAAAGCTGGATCAGTAATACAAACTTGTAAAACCGTCAAAAGTAGCATACAGAAGGAAAAATATAAGACTAACTGGAGAAACATTCTGACATGTTTGGTTTGCATGTAGGTCGATCAGGCCCTTGCCATGTAAAATTGTTGTAGGATAGGTCACTGAATCAAATAAAAATAAAATGGGTGATTCATTTCCATGTTACCTTATCAGTAGCTAATCTTGCGCACGAAAATAGCTCTGAACCGTATAATAACAAGCACAGACGATGAACAATACTCCATCCATAGAGAAATGATAGACTTGTAACATCAAATGGGTTACTTCTCAATTTCAAAAACCTTGTGGATCTCGTTGCATATTTATCAACAACTTTTTTCTGTTTTAAGGCATTTGGTGTAAGATGATATAAACCATCACTCTCTTTAAGATTTAAATGAAGTGACATCAATTTTGAACTTTGTAAGTCAGTCCACCTTAGAAGTCAAACTATATCTTATCTTCTGTTACAAACGAGTATGCTATAAACATCCACAAAAAAGACATACATTGTAGCTCCTTCTATCAAAAGCGTGTCCGGTATGTCTCCACTTAGCATGTTGCCAGTCAAAAACCTATTCGGACAACATCACATGGTTAACAATTGATATATAAACCAAATGTTAAAAGCATGAAAGAGACTACCGAACCAACTCCACCACAAACATATATACACGCACATGCATAAAAACATACTTACATATATACACACATACATGCATACATACATATATGATATAGATACATTTGCATATACATATATACATGCATATATGAGTGCAAAAAGGTCAAACACATCCTTAAAATTCAAATTGACTTGGTTATACTTACACGAAACGCAAGCTCCTACCGACGATGTTACGAGATATTCCCCCAACTAACTTGTTAAAGCTGACATCCCTATTACAGCATAAAGGATACCAATGAATATTTTTTACTAAAAAGATTAGAAGTAAAGTGGACCATATCATAGTACATACCAACTCATATTTTTAAAACAGATATTCTTCACTAACAAAGCTACTCCACAACAGATAGTATTGCAATTCAATATTAGTAACGGTACACTTAATCAATTGTGAGTCAACACCCACACCTTATATCTTGAGCACTACACAAATTGACATAATCATCACATGTGCTCTTACAGTAATTGAAGATCTCTTTTTTGCCAAATATAAGCAGGTATCTCTCCGGAAATGTTACAGCTTCTCAATACACTGAACTCCAGGGAAAAAAACAGGGTACATCAAACTGTATGGGACCCATAGTACAATACATTGAACGATATGTATAAATCAGAACCATCTACATACACTGTTTGTAAATTGGTAGCACTATCTAACGAAGGGAATCCCTGAGTTGACCCACTTACTTCACAAATCCTCCTGCAGAAAAAATTGCAATGAGTAATAATCACTTTCTCTAACACACGAACAAAAGAATAGAAAGAAAAGGGTCATATCTAGAAGGGACCAAAGTTAATCAAGAGAATATAAGAGCAGTATCTACACTCACAAATCCGTTAAATCCTGAAGAAGAGATATGTTTGAAGGAATTGGTCCCTGCAGCCCAGTCCCAATCATTTCTCTTTAAAAACAAGGATACGACAAAAATTAACAGGAATAAATATGTTGCTTCATGCATATGCAAGTATTTGATTCAGTAAGCATTATGAATGGAAATTGATCTTACAGTTTACTGATTTGTCTCCAATTCTGTATGAAGTTAGGTATGGACCCACTGAAGTTGTTGTCACTTATCCTACTGTAGTATAAGAACAATTTTCTCAGTTAAAGTACACCTTGGAGATAATTGTGAAAACATAAACTACCCCCACCTTTTCAAAAACAAAGAGGTTTAGGTGAAGCAGACAACTTCTTGTCTTCAAAATTGATGTGAATTCTATAATTTCTTTTTCTAGCTTGATAACAGAAACTGCATATGAAAATACACTTGTTTAATTTGCAAAAAGCTCCAAAATAGTTTCTGTTTTGAAATTAGTCCGATTGAACTTGGAAATCGAACTCTAGCTCTTTTTTTGGAAAGGAGGAAGTATGGATTATGTAGCAGTGTAGAAGTGTTTACAAATCTTTCAAATTTCTCAATTCAGCAAAGGATGCAGGCAACGTCCCCGTCAACCGGTTTGAGGACAAGATCCTGAATTTCAGCATCATGAAGCAGAAGAAATTAAAAATAGCTGATTATTCAAAGAACAAAATGAGATAAAATGAGTCTTACAATGCTTGTAGATTAATTAATCTTCCCAGTTCAGAAGGAACAGTCCCAGAAAAGTTGTTTGCTTCAAGGTTCCTGTTTAAAATTCATAGTTACAACACTATAAATAACAATATTAAGCATATATTTGCCTTAATTCACAGCTGAAAAGTAGCTGTAGACCAAAAATATTTAGTTGAATGTTAACAATGAAACAGGAGTTTTCAGTTTTAGAAGTGATCAAAACTAAATAAATTTGGTCTTTACTCCACCGATATATTATGATGTAGTCATCTAAGAGAATTTGACTGTTAGTATCAGAATAAGGCAGAAGCAATACCAAAATAGAAAGAAAAAAAATGGATAGAGAAGACATACAAATATGTCAAAGTTGTAATATTCCCCAGCTCCCCTGGTATTTCCCCAGAAAAACGGTTTCCAAGAAGAGAGCTGCATTAGAAACTGCAGTCAAGGCTATGAAAAGAAAATTTTAAGAGCTTAGGGCCTCTTCAACCTTTGACTGTAAACTCTAAATATACAGTTTAGAGGAATGTATCATTCTACAACTACCTCTAAATACAGAGATACTTATAGAAGATTGAAAAATATCCTCTAAATTTGGAGGAACGCTACTCATTCCTTTTTTTCATTTGTCATTTTTAACCCCTTTGGCTATTAAAGGATTTATTTTTAATTTTATACAGAAATAATTTAATCACATATAAGTTAGTGTGTACAATTTCATTTAGTGTGGAAAAGTTTGTAGTTGAAATTTTTAGAGAATGAAAGTTGGAGTTGAACCAAATTTTGAGGAAGAATATTCTTCAAAATATGTTATTTTTCCTTTAAATTTAGAATTAGAGTGATAGAGATGCCCTTAGGTTACTCAAAAAAGATGTATAAATAAAAATGTTCACATTGACTGCAACGGTATTGAACCCAATTCAGACGGTATCGTGCCACCAAGGTAATTGAACGCAAAATCACTGCAAGGGACTCACAATGGATTAGTTTCACTACATTTCAGCTCACATCAGCAGAGCACTGTGTGTAAAAGAGCACTTACATAGTATGAAGGTGAGGAAGCTTTACGAGGTCGGGTGGAAGGACACCACCAAGACTATAATACTTATGAGTGCTGCATTGAAGGAAATGTCCGATAGATCTTTTGAGAAGCAGAAAGGCGAAACAAGTAGAGGTGGTTGTGGATATAGTCTTATACTATCACTGAACATCTCAAAGGAAAGCATTGTCTTTTAATTATGTCGCACAGTCACAAGAGAAGAAACCTTCATCTCATACTAAAGAAGTTTCTATGTCAATCCAAATTTTATTAGCCAATTCATCTTCTGATGAAACTTTTTACTCCTTTGTTCCAAGAAAAATATATACACTTAAAGTTCTGAAATTAAATAGATTGCTTTCAAATCAATATAAATGTGAAATTTGTATTAAAAAGTTAAGTACAAAATCCCAATAATTCTAAAGATTGGGTATCAATTGCTTAAGTGACAATTAGCCACATTTGACCTTATTAGCCAGAGGGCACATCCTTGACATGGGGGTAAAACATCAACTTGGATATTCCCCATTCGTTTATGAAAATGTTGTTCTAAGAGTTATATATAAAGTAGAAACAGCCTTGCATTCTATATATCACATCAAGCTGCCTAATAGAATGCCAATTAGAAAGAGTTTAAACTGTTTATAGATTCTAAGACTACGATAGAAGATTGTTCATGTAACAAGCCAAAAGAATATGGGTACATATAGGATAACAATTACAAGATTATTGAATGCAAGAGAAAACAAGACCAGAACATTACATGCTTACAACATGACAGTTGCTGGAGTTGCCATTGTTACAGTTAATGTCACATTCGACCCTGGCATCAGCTTCGGGGTGGGGCTTTTGCACTTCAGAGATCACTTCAAGTTGACAAGATTTACCATTCAACCTCCAATTTGTTGTACCCATTAACTCCATAATTTCTTGAAGAGCTTCGACTGAACAAGAGTAATGCATAAACTAGGTCATTTTGTAGAGCATAAAGAATGTTAGCTATAGTCATAGCAATTGCATTCGAAACTCATTTGAAAGAGGAGAACTACAACAATGCAATGCCAACAACCTATAGTCCTATACTGCTATTGCAGAAAACCATAATTCTAAAATAGTGTTCGATATTCCAAATAATGCTTCTACTAGACAAAATGGTGGGTTGATCACAAGACCTTACAACAAGGTAAAAAGTTCCTTGTCAGCTTCCATTTAAAAAATAATGACAATTGGTGGTGCGATTATTGGATCTTATATACTGGAGAATAAATTCAATGTAACCTGTATGGAACTTTTTACTCTTTAGCATTCATAGGTTGTAATGCTTCAAGCTTAAAGTCCACTACTCAAAAGCTTATAGGGGTTGCACATTTCATTCATACAACCTATGTGGCATCGAGTATTGCAAACTTCCCCACTTAAACTCCTAATATCCTTCTCACACTTGAGTATATGAGTCCAACGCATTGCATCTCAAAGTGCTATACCTTTTATGCCATATGTAATGCCCCGAGCTGGAAGTAACAAATCAACCTGATGAACCACCAAACAGCTAAAGCTGTAGTGAGAATTTATCAGCAACTAGCTACCAAAGTCAAAATCCAAACTCACAACCATGTGGGACTGATAAAATTTTACATAGATCAAGTTCAATTGACATCGTAGGGTTTTAGGTCAAAATCAAACCACTCATTTTCGGGGCAATCAGCTTGGAATTGAAACTACTTTGTTCCTTCTCACACCCTTCCCCACTATCACAAACAATGCCCCTTTGAACATTGAAGCTACTTAGCCAAATATACATACATACAGACTAAATTATCATCATAAGAACAACCAATTGATTTCGGTGCTGATTTACCTTCTTCCTCTGGAACCACAGAGTCTGAAACTCTTACGAGTATGATCAAGTTGAGTGCTAGAAACAACACATACCCTACTTTGCTCATCATCTTCTCAAGTGGCATTGTGTGTAGGGGTATGTGAATTATGAAAGACAACCGTAGGAGTCTAGTTCATGAAAGATAAAGAAGAAAACTAAGAGGAATTGCTAATCCAGAATACGACTGGATTCCCTGACCTCATGCGTCTTCTGACCATGGCGGCTGTTTAAATATAATCAATCCTGGTTAACGGCTGCTCATTGACCGTCAGTATTATTACTTTGAAAAATATTTTTTTTAAAAGCTAATGGATTTTTCGATTTTAATTTTTTAAACAAATACATTTTTTTATTTTTTTTATTGATTGAACACATTTTTTTTTCTTGAAAGCATCTCCAACAGATTCCCTAAAAAAATTAAAATGAAAAATTAAAAGTCAAAATCTTTAAAAAAGATTGTATTCATCTCCGACACATTTCTTATTTAAACAATCCAACATTTGTTATAATATTAAAAGATTTTATTTGTTTATTAAAATATTATCTCTTTATATATTTATTTAAAGTTTCTTTTTTATATCTCATTTGGTAATCGTTTTCGAGGTCTTTTCAACATTTGGAGAAAAGACTCTTCTTTTTCCTACTTTCTCAATTTTAGAGATAGTTTAGGAAAATCATTGGAGCGAAATATTTGCTCAAAATCCTTATTTTTACAATTTTTTTCGTTTTAAAGAAGTTGTTGGAGATGTTTTTAAATATTGAAATTATATATTTTTAATAATTAAGTTTCTTGATATTTGTGGTACCATGGATTTTTTAAAATTGATTTAATAAATCCTCAAGTAAAACCAATAAAATAAAATTAATACATCTTTTATGTTTTTAAACGAATAAATCCATAGAATTTTAAACCTGACATTATTAAGCACTAAGGTTGTCGAAGAAATCAAACTTTTTTTTAAGTATATAATATTTATATACGGTAAATGCAATAAATAAACTAAACACACCCTCCTCACCTATAGTGAGGTTTGAAACTCTGACCTTCTAGAAGGCCAAGGGCTACGATACCGCTAAAACAAAGGCCATTTGGTGAAGAAATCAAACTTAGAGACTAAGAAATTGAACCTAATAAATGCAATAGCAGAGTTGTGAAGATGCCTCCTCGTCGACAAACGAGATAGTATGGGGCTAGCAGAAGATAGCGTGGGGCAACAAATGATGAGGAGATATCGTGATAGGGGCTACGATAAAGAAACAAGTCAAAATTTACTCTTACATTTTGATGTCTAAATCTTTTTAACTTTAAAATTATTTTTACCATCTAAACCAGTTATACGTTGTCATTTACTTAAGTCAAAATAATTTCTTACCGTTAAAAATGATATATATATATATATATCATTTTTAACATATATAATAATATATATCATTTTTAATATATTAATAATTTTATTTGTTAAATGAAATGAAGGGAAAAAAATCAAAAATACCTCCTAATATTATAGAAATTGATGGGAAACTTTAAAGGTTGTTGATAAGAGGGACTGAATTCTAGAAAAATTGCAACATGTGGAATATATGTGTAATAGAGAGGAATTGTAGTAACAACCTTCATTGAAAATGACATGAAAAATGTAATTTGATTTAAAAATAAATTAATAATTGGCATAAATTATGAATTTGGTCCTTGATGTTTATCATTTTTAATTAAATCCGTCCTTAATTTTCATTTATTACAAAATTCTCTCCCATGCTTGCAAAATCCAGTAGTTTTCGTCTCTCTTACTATCACGTGTTATGTTTTTTGTTAAATTCAGCAAAATGAAGGGTATTTTAGTCATTCTACTTGTTTTTTTAATTTTTTTTTATTAAAAATTAGGTATTGTAGTAAGTGTATAATATCATAAAATGTAGATATGAATGTAAAAGGTCCCTTCCTCGGACATCCTTACCCTCTTTCAATTCCCTTCCCCGGACATCCCACCCTTTTCCAAACACCCCACCCCACCCTACCCTGCCCTGCCCTGCAACTTCGGTAGAGACAAAACCCAAGACCCTACGACTCTGAAGGGAAAAACTAGAAAAATGGAAAACAAGAGGAGAAGAATACATTTAAGAATCCAGACAACACAAAACTCGGAAAAATCAACTTTCTAGATGATTGATGAAAGCATCTTCAACAAATTCTCTATAATTTTTCTAAAATAGAAAACCAAAAGTCAAAATCTTTAAAATATATTACATTCAGCTTCAACAAATTCTCTATTTTATATAAAATGATATTAATTCAACCCTCATTGGTTGAATGAATAAAAAAGTCATTTATCTCTCCTCTTTTTTAGTTTTAGAGAATTCATATGTTTGGAGTTTTCTCTTTAATTCTATATTTTAGAGAATAAGATAGAGAAACTGTTGGAGCATCATAGAGAACAAAAAAAATGATTTTCTCTATTTTAGAGAAGTTGTTGGAGACACCCTGAACCATCGCCCCACCCCATCCTCTTCCCCTTCTCGGTGAACCATGCCTCCCATTTAAACACATATGTTCGAACCAGGTTGTGGCTCGTTAAAGGCGACAATTGTCTTGAAAACAGGTATATCCAATCTGCCATGATCAAAATTATCGAGCTAATATAAGAAATTTATGTTTAATTAATCTACTCACATGCATCAACCACACTCCAACAACCATCATACATGCATCAACCCAAACACTCTAATAGTAGCAATCACCAAACCAATAAAGTTGAATGCATCAACCCTATCCTTCTTGTTGTATTTGTTAATCCATCCTTTCAATTTTCTTTGATTTTGTTGTAAGGGGAGCAAGCTTGAAATCCATAGTTTTTGAACAATAGTGGGTTAAACTATTTGTGGGTTTTTTGTATGTACCTTTAAACTCAAGTTACTGAAAGAAAATTGATATTTTTCTAGGGTTTTTACGTTCAAAAATGAACTTTTACAGGTGAAAGGTTAGTGACGACAAGGTTCACTCAATGGACAGTGGTTGTAGGGCTGAGTGATGGTGATAGGAGCAAGAGTGGAGAAGACTATGGCAACTTTGTTGGTTATGTGGGAGAAGGATGGAAACAGAGAGAACGAATATGGAGTTTAAACTTTGTTAGGGACATTTTCATCTTTTTAAGTCTTTCATTATGAGCCTTTTTAAGTTCTTATCAGTTTTCTTTATTTTGACAAGTTTTAATTATTTATTTTTATTGTTCTTCAATCTTTCATCTTCCACAAGGAACAAAAACAAATTAAAAGCTGTAATAAGAAAATCCGTTCAAAAACATCAACCGCCTAAATCAATTTAATAAAAAGCATCAAGAACAAAACAAGCGAAAATCAAATAAATCATCATCGAACAACTTTTTATTAGAACTTCTTCCAAAAAAATATTGTAATACAAATCCTAAAGTAAAACCTAAATTGAACCCTAAACCAAAATCTAAATTAACTATACAAAAAGAACATCAACAAAAAGCTTGTACATAAGAGGAAGGAGTCTTGAAGCGTAAGCGTAAATATTGAGTAGACTTGAAGTAGAAGCAGGTTGGGGGAGGTTGATTTTGGCGCAAATGAAGACAATACAAGGGCAGGATATGTGTTCGATTTCAGAAGACATGTCTTCTTCTTTGACCACGAGATGCCACGATCTTCATTTCAAAACCCTAATATTTTCACGAGATTTGTGGTCATAACCAGATCCATCATCTGAAAACCTAATGAAACCCTAAAAAAATACAATTAGCCCCTTGATTTACACATAGACACACACAAAAGAGAGGTCCCGCCCTATGAATTGGTTATTCATAAACGAGTCATGAAAGGTCAACATGTCAGGTTTTCAAGAGTCACTCCACCGACTGGAACACTTAGTGGAGTATTTTAGTAAATTGAACCGTCTTAATTCTTGAGGGTGCTCTACCCACTGAGCTATACATCGTTGTGTAAGATAGTCCTAGTTGTTAGGGGGATATGTGTACATCATTGTGAATAGAAATTGCAGGAGAGGTGGGGAAGGGAGAGGTGTAAGCCGACAGAGAGGTGGCCGGTGCAATTAGTTGTTCATGGAGGTCGGAGGTCATTAGATGCTTGGAATTGGGGATCAATGGAGGAATTCTCGTAGAACTCGGTTCATATGTGTATATATAGGTATATATTACCATATAAATATACTTTGTATATTATATCATATAATTGATATAATAATATATTAATTAATTATTTTCTGAAGAAAAATATGAGATAAATGAGAAAAGACTAAAATACCTCTAGTTAGATGAACTTTCTAACGGCTGTTAGAAGAATGGATTAAATCCAAACGTTTTTACAAATCATAATTGACATCTTGTATTTTCGAAACTGGAAATATGAAAAGTGTTATAACCAAGATGAAATTTGTAGTTTAGTAAGGGAATCCAATGGTGATGATGTTGTGGGACCAGCAAGCTATTCATTATTAAAAGACTTATCCAATTTATAAAGTTGAAAAGCAACAGTTATTATATTTATTTTATAAAATATATTTTATTTTATAAAAAAACCATATGCTTAGAATAAATTTTAAAGATGATACTATTTTAAATATTATTTTGGAGAAATCCTTATAAGATAATGTTCTAGAAGTAGCAAGGGTGGACTCAAAATGAGACACGACAAAATAGGACTGAACGAGCGGAGCAAGCGAGTAAGAGAGAGATAGATCGGTGAAAGAATTATAAATAGTGTTGGGGTTTTAATTTGATCAGGATAATTTTGTAATTTACCAATATTGTTTTATTTTTTTTTATTTTTGTTCCATCTATTTAAATTATCCCAATTAATCATGTCATATCCAAAATTAAAGTCAACAACAAATGTGAGAGGACATCTGTTTTGTTCTTATCTATCCACCAAACGCGTAAAAATAATTTTTAGAGTTAATAATGGAATTGGTCCCTGTGGTTTGGTTTTTTTTACAAAATTGGTCCATAAACTTTATTTATTACAAAAGAGGACTTGTGGTATGTTGTTTTGTAACGACTTGGTCCCTCACTCTAACGACCGTCCAATTTCTATGTTAATCTTGAAAGTATTTTCATCCTTTTTTATCTTTTCTTAAGAGACCAATTTTGTAAAAATCATACAAACCACAGTGACCAAATTCGTAATTAATTTTAAAATAAAAATATTAATTTTTTATACTTTAAATTTATTAA